TGCCCGCAAAAAGAAGCGTAAAGCCGTCGCGAAGCCCCGTACTGGTACTCCAACCACGGAACAAACCAACCCATCCGTCCGCAGTGAGACGGGTGATGCGCTTCCGTCCCAGCCTCGACACCCTAACGCAGCATCTTCATCATCGACTGAGCCTCTACCTGTCGTTCTAGACGCGACCTTCCCGGCACCACTACCCTGCGCGTTTCCCCCCGCTTGTGGAGACGACCAGCCAGGCCTCCAGGCGGCATACGCCAAGCAGGTGAACACGGTGAGCGCTACGTCAGCGGCGTTTCCGTCTCGTGGCCGAGAAGAACCTCTCCCTGGAACATCAAGCTCCGCCCCTGTGGACTCAGCATTCAACCTCGACGACTTTATGCGCGGTTTTCAGCCGGGTGGTCCGACGGTACCTGTTAGTACAGCCCCCCAAACAATCCACGGTCACCGTCAACTTGAAGATAAAGTTGATCAACTTTTTCAGCTATTTACCGAGCTGCGTCGCGAGCTCCACAGTAAGGAGACACCCATCTCTCGCGGTTCACCACTTTATGGTAATGTAGACTTGGTGTCTGCTTCTGTCTCGACCACAGCCGATAGCGGGTTATCTACGTGGACCCTTCCACCGCTCGGCAACCCAGCTGACATGCCACCGCGCGAGCTTCATCAACTTCGTTGTGCCAGTTTCCCTGCCCCTCGTACTCGCACTAAAGGCGAGTACCACCCGCCTCAAGCACATCAGCTCGCGGCACACCGTATCTTCAAGGAACTAAACTCTGAGACAGGTAAGTGGTTGTCTCCAATGTCGTTTGTATTGCACTTGCGTGAGCTCGACAGCGTCCGGTTCGATGCTCCACCCGCGGTGCTGATGGCAATTTACAGCGGCCGTCTAGTATCAAGAGGCCTTACCGTCATGCACTTCCGATCACAATCGGAACTGGAGCAACTGCGTCGAGGCTCATCCAACGCGAACTTCTCAGTGGACTTCGGCGCGAGTGCGTCTCTACCGGTGATGAATGCCCAGTGCCAGACGTATGAAGACCTGCTGGCGGCAATTGGTGGATTAGTCTCGCTTGGAGACGCCCTATGGTACGATCATGTCCGCCGGCTTCTCTCGCGACTGAAGCGGTTTGTACTTGCTAACAAGAAGCAAGACGAGAGCACACCCGAGCGTGTACTGCTCACGCTTCTTCACGTGAACCAATTCCTCGGCAAGGCTCTGGCTCACCTGATGATGGACGCTCCACACTGGTGGCGTGACTTTTCCGAGGCCGTGAGAGCCGTCGACTATCACAGTCCCGACTGGCAGGCAGCTCTCAATGGCCTCGCCCTCCGTCTGGCAGCCAAGACACCAGGAGCTACTAGCTTTCCCCCAGCGACTGAACCTCGCACGACCCAGACGTCGGCAAACTCGTCCTCACGTCGTGGCTCATCCTCCCGTGTGCCGGTGATGCCGGACGACATTCGCCGCCTCATCCCACGTGATACCGACGGGTGCGAGCCTTGCCTGCGGTTTATGGGCGGAGGTATGTGCTACGGCGGAAATGCCAACCGTTGTGCCCACTCTCGTCGTACCCACCACTGGAACGGCCGTCTACCGCGGGAGTTACAGGAATTTATTGACCGGAATTCCGGGCGAGAGCGTTACCAAGGCAACCGCCGCACACGACAGTGAAGTGGCCGTGGCGCTGCTAGTTCGTCAGCTCTACGGTACGATTGCACAACCACATTAAATACACCGGTATATGGTTCTGCCAACGGACAACAACTTTATATTCCCCGCCTACGCGGGCGACCACCTCCTACCATTTCCTCCTCTAGTGGCCTAGAACGTCGAGAGGAGGACATGCCCATTAAGGCGCCCCATGGCCTATCACTTCTGCAGAGCAGCCCCACGGCGCTTCGACAGACACGCAGCCGCCCCAAGGCGCTGCCACCGAGCCGGTTTCGCCTCACTCTATGCTCGGACGTCGCATGGCATCTCCATCCGCGACGTCAAACCGAGTACCACCTCGGCTTCAGCGCCAATCTAGTGGCGCACCGGGAGCACGGTTAGCACCACAGCTTACACAAAACAACATTACGGGAGCACGCTGCCAACTCACAGCAACATGTACCTGCCGAGCTCCGGCACATCAATCTCCGAAGCGTCCACCTCCGAGCATCGCGACAACTCAGGCCCTGGCGGTACAGGCGGAGACACGAGCACATCTATGGGAACGCATTCGTCTACAACATGTTAGCGCGGCACTTCAGACAGTTGGACTATCGATGCCAGCAGCGCCATCTCCTTCCCAGGACGGAGGGTCAGTACTGAACAAGCCTCTCCAACGGGTGCTCTCAGACTTCATTCGGCGCACGCACATCAGTTTACCAAAGTTCGTCGAGCTATTGCGCGTCCAAACGGTCGATGACTATAGACCCAACAAGAACATTCTTCCTGTAGCACTACGCCATGCTTGCAGAGGATACGAACACTTAGAAGCGCTGCTCGATATCGCTCAATACGGCGTCCGTACACCTCTCGTCGGACCTTGGACGCGCCAGCGCTCCTATCCTCCAAACCACTAATCGGCCACAGATCGCTACCACATCCTGGTCAAGAATATACGCAAGGAATGGACAATTGGCGGTGCATTGTCGTCGACTTCGACATCCTGGAAATATGGCCCGAGGTGCATGTTAGTCCTTTCGGAGTGGTGGGCAAAGGAGCAGGCGACGACGACCCTCTCGTTAATGGGCGCGTCATTCACGACCTATCCTACCCGGACGGACAATCCGTGAGCGATCAAACGGACACGTCGCGTATATGTCCACCGTCATATCAGCACTGCGACGCCATCGCGTCTGAGGCCATCACTCAGCAGCAGAACCACCCGGGTACAGTGGTCAAACTGCAAGCTGGTGACGTGGCGTCCGCATTCCGTAACATTATGCACGCATAGTGAGAGTGCATATCTCTTTGGCGGCCGACTAGAGCCAGACAATGCGCTAGTTATCGATATGTCCGCTGACTTCGGATGGTCCGGCTTACCCGGTAGCTACGGAGTTGTCGGCGGAGCGATCGCTCATGTACACGGGAACTCCGTTACCCCGCATCAACCTTCAGGTGTGTTCAACTACTACTGGGTGGACGACCACATCAACGTGGCAGCCGATATTGGCAGCAATTGCAGCGACACGGAACAGTCACTTCGTTACGCGATGATCACCGTACTCGGTCACGCGGCTATTAACGAAGACAAATTCACGCGTTGGAGTAGTCGACAGAAGGCTCTCGGTCTTATCTTTGACACTGAGATCGGTCACGTTGCCATGCCCCGGAAGAAGATAGAGAAAGCCAAAACGTGCGTGGCAGCGGCGTTAACCACTACGTCCCTCAGTCGGTCCGAATATCGCTCACTACTCGGTCGTCTACGTCACGTAGCCACGTGCGTCCGCCCCGCTCGTCCATTCTTACAGCGCCTACGCCGCCAAGAAAACCAGCTTCGCAGATGGGATCGGGTGCCTGTTAGCGCGGACATGCGCCAGGATCTGTGCTGGTGGTCCTACATCTTACGTTCCCCGCTACTCAACGGCGTTCCCCTACAATACTTCCACAATGCGCCCCCACCAGACATCATTGTGGAAATGAACGCTTCCGACAGTGGCCTCTGTGCTCTGGTTTCAACGGCACAAATGGTGCTCCAATACACATTCTTCAGCGATGAGCGTCAGATGATCGACGCATCGAAACTCGATTCCACCGTCGGTTTCGATATTAATTACAGGGAAATACTATCCTGCGCCTTTGCAGTACACACATGGGGTCCAGCCTGGTCGAGACAACAACGTTCGATCAGCAGCGGCATTGTGCATGTTCAATTTCGCATCGACAACACGTCGGCGGTGGCATGGGAGAACAACATGTCGTCCCGCAATCCCAGAGCGCAAACCGTCATTAGACTGCTCGGCTACTGGGAAGCGGAATACAGGCTCCGGTTCTCTGCCGCTCACGTGGCCGGTGTAGACAACCGGATTGCTGACGCGGGCTCTCGCGTGACATCTAGCGCTCAACATGCATCTCTATTTGCTAAACTAACATAGGACTGGGCGCAGGCTACTCTGACAACAGACGTGTCGGGTCTGGAAGCGATTTGGCGTTCTATCTCAGAGCCCACTCTGTCGCGGCATCAACATACGGCAAATACCGCAGCGCGCTAAGCGCGTGGTATGCCTGGGCAACTCGCAACGGGGTGGACCCCTACGCTACGCAGCTACACATTGGGCGACCAAGTTCAGTTCATCACCGATTTCGCAATTCATGGTCTTCAGGTCGGCTACGGCTCTGGCCGACCCGTGCGTGGCTCAACTATTGCATCTACACTACACGGTATACGACTTTTCTTCCTGGCCGCCAACATGGCGTTCCCGAGCGACAACACACAAATTCGCATGCTTCTGAAGGGCATCAATCGTCTCGATCAGCCAGCTACGCACAAAGTCCCCGTATCTCTCCAAATGCTGGAGAGCTGCTTCGATGCTCTCGACTTGTCCAACCCTTCCGATCAAGCGCTATGGGGGGTTTTGTGTTTGTCTATCTTCTTCCTATTACGGCGCTCGGAAATTGCTTCTAACAAGACAAGATTTTCGTGGTTTGCCCTCAACGCCGAGGACATCGTCGTGCTGAATCATCAAGGTGTCGCCACCACGCGAGCACACGAGGCCTCAGCAGTGCACATTCGCCTTCGAGGCTCCAAGACTAATCAGCGCGGCGTGCCGACACTCCGAATGCTGAACCGCTCGGGTCACCGCTTTTTATGCCCAGTATTTGGCGCACTTTGCATCATCAGGGCGAGACGCGGTCTTTCAATGAAAATCCCAGCCGCGGTGTTTATCAACGGAAACGGATTCCCAGAGTGTGTATCTTCATCAGCAATATCAAGAGCCATCAGACAAGCAGCAACAAGGCTCGGCAACAATCTGAGGATATTTAGTCCTCACTCGCTCAGAGCAGGCGGCGCAACTCACATGTACCGGGCCGGAGTTGACACACTCACCATCCAATTCCACGGACGCTGGGCATCCACTACATTTAAGCAGTACACAAGACTATGCAAGGAGTCAGTCCAAGTGCTGTCGGCCAGGATCGTCAGTGGCTCAAGACACATGCACCGACTTCAGTAGAGCTTCCGGATCCTCATAATTGGGGGTCTTCAACTCCACATGAGTTGAAGTTAATCCGTTAGCTCTTACTGAATATATGTATGATGATACCCCCACGACTGCGTATGCGAGGAAATGCCTACATAGCTCTATTTCATCTCTTAAACGTTTGTCTTGGCGCTCTGTTTCTCGCTGGAATACGCTTTCGCGCTTGGTTTTCTTTTTTTTTCTTGCTGGAGTCGATTTCGTAGAGCAGGTTCCATTGGAATAATCACTGTCTGAGACGTTTGTATCAGAGCCACCTTCGTCCCCGCGAAGGGCTCGCCGAACAAGAGCTTCTTCTACTATATCCGACGCACAGCGAGTCGCCTTGGCTTCGTCCTCCTTCTTCTTATTGATACGACCCGCCTTGTCATATTTAAATGCATCTTCCAGCAGCCCATACTGACCAACTAACCCAGCCAGTGTCTCGTAGTGGCTCTGCTCATTAACAGCGTCAAATGTTTCCTCGATGCCGCTTCCTAACGCCGAACGGAGCTCCCCCGCGCGCCAGTTTTTCTTGAGAAGACGAACACGATCCCGTACTTTTTTCTCTAGTAGCGGCTCCTTGATCGCTGTAGATACTCGCTCTGCCACTTGTGCCCTCAAACTAGCCGCATCATCATACTTGGCTGCAAAGTGCTTCTGGGCAATCACTTCCCGCATGAGCTCTTTGTCATGTCCCTCTGTAAAACGAAACACCATCTTACTTTGCTGATGCTGCAGAAATTTAGGAATGACCTAAATCGTGGCCTCCTTGAAAGTAATTAAGCTGCCATCATAAGAAACGAGAACGGTTGCACTAAAGCTAAGTAAATGAATTTGTCAGTTGCACTAGCATATGATTGTCGTACTACAGCTGGTACGGTTTTGCTAAGGACCTCTAATGCTAAACTGCAACAGGCAGTCACCCTGCCTTGATAGCATTTTACCCTATTGGGCACAGAATAAGCGTTGGTTCAGCGTATGTCGCTAGGTTCTCGACGTGTTCATCCCTAACCCGGCCAATTACTTCTCAGAGCGCGTGAAAGTGTGCTTGAACACTGTTAACACCACTCGGACCACATCATTGAGCGGCCAATCGTCATTAATGCCTCACCACATCCAGTGCAGTGAGGACGAAACAGGGAAAGGGGTGCCGTCATTACGATCTTGTTGTAATGAACAAACCCGCGGCAACGTGCCTTACACTCTGATGGCTGCACGCTTAAAACTTAATCAAAAACACTCAGTGGCTGAAGGACAAGAGCAACAAAAAGCTTGTCGGATCAAGAGGCCAAGTTAAAGCGCGGAACAGGGTAGTAAATGTAGTGGGGTTGTTCTGCGTCTGAGATCCCGTAGTGTAAGTCGGAATTCCACCACGTCGTTGCCTTCATTCAGCTTTTCCTCCAACAAGTTTTCTAGTTGCACCGAGCAGTTAATCGACATTATTTTCATGCTAGCCCCCATAATTGCTTGCTTTAGAGGGTCTACCCACTCAATCACCATTCTATCTTTTTCGATTCGGGCAATCGCCCATACTATACTTCCATGTTATTACCGGTTCACGTATGGACAGACAGCGCGATCAAATTAATATCATTTTGCGCTGTGATATCCAGCACTTCGCCGCTTCCTATTCCAGAAAAATAAACACTTTACATGTGCTTAGATTGTTGCTTTCTTAAAAAAAAGTGAAAATACATTTTTACCGGTATTGATACGGTACTGGACCGGTGTTTTTTTCCAGGAATTATCGAAGATTTCTTGTGACATCCATTCAGCCACCATCAGTGCATTGAACTGCTACCACCACCGGACACTCGACCAGAGCCAAGTGACACAAGATCACATGGCGATGACTGCGGACGACGCCGCCTCTCCAGCCGCACGGCCGCTAGCCGAGGTCGCTCTCTATGCTGAGTTCGACCTGACCAAGGGAAGCACACTGCGCGCCAGCTACCCAAGTCCGTTCGCGCACTACTCTCCTGAGTTCTTCGCTGATATCATGCTGCCTGAGGGAGTGCACAACCGCGAGGAAGACTTTACAATTTTCTTCCTCAACCGCCAGAACGCGCACAAGTCTATCAATACTGATGAAAAGGATTCCAATGAGAGTCAAACACGAACAGCAGACGAGATCCAGGATCCGTTGCAGAGCTTCATGTACTGCCTTAGTGTGGTGCGCACCACCCACGATACGGCGGCTCGTCGTGGCGCTAAAGTGACGGCTGTGGCATTGTGTTCGACCCACAAAAGCTGCTTCGCTTTAAAAGACGTGCTCAATCTGGCAGTGCTCAAAATTGTGGGCTCCAAGAGCGAAGAGGAGAGTGGGAACGTGCTAAAAGAGCTGTTCGCTGTGGCTAATGCTGTCGACATCTCGGGGGTCCGAGGCTTGTCCAATATGGAGCGGCGACTCATGAAGCGCACTATAAGCAGTACTGGACGAGCTGCTGCTAATAGGGAAGATGCCCAGACGCTGGAGAAGGCGCTGTTTTTCAGAACGCAAGCAATGTGGGAAGATATCCCGATCCCGCTGCAGTTCAAGATCTGCAGTACCGATGACCAGCATGATGATGGAACACTGACACAGCTACTACAGACTTTCGGAGACCAGACAATGGTGCTGTTTAACGCCGTGCTAACGGGACAACGCGTGATCATGCTGGGATATAACCGGCCAGCGGGGGAAGTGTGCAATTTTGTGCTTGCAACGAGCTCGCTGGTGTGTCCACCACTGTTTGGGCTAATTCACCGCCAGTATCCGTAAGTTTTGCCGGGTATTCTGTTAAATGCAGGACTTCTTTGGGTTGACGTGATGTGGTGTGGACAGATACGCGAACCTCACGGACTTGGGATTTCTGTCGACGCCAGGATACATTGCCGGTGTGACAAACCCGATGTTCAAGACGAAGCGAGAGTGGTGGGATGTGTTGTGTGATATCTCTACAGGTGAAGTCTTTGTGTCGGCGCCAGTGGAAAAAGAGGACCATGATGTTTCGGATCGCAGCTTTGTACTCGAGGCAAGCTGACAAGACACGTGCAGTGTTTTTCTTTTTGGAACTTTACTGATGAGATCTTTTACACAGGTGTTAGATGGAGTGGCAGCGGGATATGATGAGGAGTGGGTGCGATGCATTTTTGAGGAATACATGCTGAAGAACGTCGTGGACATTGCGCTGGGTGAGGCCAATTACCTCAGTCCTGACGCTCTGGCGAAGCGCTCGGCAGTCAACAACAAGCGGATCACCAAGTGGGCTCGTACTGACAGCTACAAGCGCTTCATGGACTCTCCGCACCGGATGCACTTCCACTCGCCGGCGTTCAATATATCCTCCTCACAGATCTCTTGCCTGTGCTTGCTCTCGTAGCAAGGACACTGTGTTATACGGCTGATACTTGTGTGCTGACATGGTTTTCCTTAACGTACCGAGTGTGTGTGTGTGTGTTGCCGTGTGGAATGTTTACGTAGAGAAAACTGGCGTGGACTTGAAGCGACACATTCGAAGTCTCCAAGGCGACATGGTGGTACTGGATGATACTCAAGTGGAGACAATCTACTCGGACTTCGCTTCACTATTGAACACAGAGCTGGAACTGCAGGAATTCCTGAGCTTTTTGCCAGTGCTACGCGGTGGTTTGCAGACGATAGCGCAGGGCATATTCCACCCGTCCATTAGCGTCAAGCACAACACTGTGGTGCTACTCAAGCGTCTGGAGCAGTTCCCGTCAACCGTATCGAGTATGCAGCGCCTTAATCCGTTCCTGCTCATGTCGTACCAGCGGATTCACGACATTGTCAACCCGGATAAAAGAGACTAACCCCTCGAAGAGGTGCTAGCAGATGAAGGGGAGAGCATGTATCAAGATATCAGTAAAAGAACACTGCTTTAACCCTCTTCCTGTCTTTGATATGCCTATAGGCCTGGTGATGTACACGATCTAAGGCGTCAAAAGCTTTGCAAACTCTTCGAATCCTTCACCAAAGAGCTGATCACCGCTCATTGTCTGGCTGTGAGGGCCGTCTCGAGTGATGGGTTTAAGGTCTGGCTCAGCTTGTTCGCAGAGCTGCTCGAAGAAATGATCACCGCAGTCAACTTCTTGTGATTCTGCTGACGATGCTGCTCGCTTTTGCGTGGCTTTCGCTTTCTCAGTTGGTTCTAGGAACGCCAGAGTCTCTTTGCGCTCATCTTGTTGTGCTTTCCTCTGCTGTTCCATCTCGCCTAGATCTAGAATCTTACTGCGACTCAGAAGGTTAACATACGCTGACGACGGACGGCCTTCACCTGATCCCTCCGGATACAATTCAGACTTGGTCGAGTTCAAGAACCCCCGCTTAACTGCACCACTTTTCTTGTTCCGTTGCGTGACTTCTGCCTTTGCTGTCGTATTCTTCATCGATTGAGAGCTTGGTGCCGTCTTCTGCTTGCTTGAAGGTGGCGGTACTTCTTCAATCAGCACTTTTTTCTCTGCCTTCTTCTTCGCTGTGCCTTTCACAGGTGCCGGTGGAGGTTTCGCGTCTTCCAACGTACGAGCCTTCAGTAACACAGCTGGCTTTTGAGTGGCTTTGATCCCTTTCGCCGGCGTGATTGCCAGCTCCTGTACCTCCTCGTCCTCCTTATCTTCGTCGAGGTGGATCTGCTTGAGCAGATCCGCTGGTGACTCCATGCGCTGCTTGGTTGGGTCTGCGTCCTCAATGCGGAACTTGGACGTAATGATCTCGCTGCCCACAGTCACGCCGCCTTTGTATCGAGCTTTGATAAACTTTCCTGTGGGTGTAATGAGTCTCACCTTAGCGTCCTCTTGTACCCACTGCACTGCGAGTTTCATGACTTCCCGCTTGAAATTCGCGTCCCATTCACTGCGACGAAGTACCCAAGGATTCACTACGACATCTACGGCACAGCAGAGAGCGCCACTGAAGTCGGTGACTTCGCGTAGCTTGCCCACGACAAGTGGAACTTGCAAGCTGCTGGTATTGGGCACAGCTCGCGTATCTTCAGGTACTTCGAGACCCGAATTCGGGTTCTTGGGGGCGTCTATGAGGTTGTGTGCACAGATATTAAGGAAGAGCTTGGTCTCTTTTTGCTGACTCTTGATCGAGTGATACATGGTGCATTTAAGCACGAAACCAGGGTCCGGAGTGAAGAAACGAGGTGGTGTGGCATCATTTGTGGCTTGGGCCGATGACGAGTCCGCAGGAGGTGGAGGGGGGCCGTCCTGCAATTGCTCGTTGATGAACGACTCGTAGCGCTTGGGGTCCGATGCGGATAAGTCGTTGAGAGTGTTCCAAAGAGCCTGCGCCTCCTCGCCGAAATCTTGGGGCTGAAGTCCCATTTGCTGGGCAATTTCTCGCATTCGAGGATCTGCCAAAAGCGCATTCACGGACGCACCGCCACGCTTCCGCGGGTCTGGACGGCGATTATTAATGATGCCGAAGTTCATCGTAGTAGATGAGTTGATGCTTGCAAACAGAAGACGATCGAGATGTTGGATCGATGGAAGCCCCGATGCCTCGTGAAACGACGCGACCCGAAAATTCTCGAAAACGACAAAATCTAGGATAGGACAAGTCAGAGCAAGTTATCACCGAGATCCGTTATCACCACGATCCATTCAAAAATTGGCATTCATTCACAAAGCAACTAAACAGTTGAACTACCTCTGCAACATCAGAGACATCATTACGTAACATCAATGCCCCGTGCAGGACTTCAGCACCGACTTCCACTCTGCCTCGGCAGATTCGCCCGCTTGTGCCCTGTTCGCCTCAGATGAAATCTGAAGACATCCACGCTGTCTCGAAAGTCAAAATGGACTGTCGAGTTGACGCCGAAGTGGAGGCGTCTACGCCCGCTAGGAGTAATCTCAATGTCGTCGTCTTCCTCATCTTCCGAGCCATCACCAGTGAGATCAACAACCTCTGGCGTTTTATCTGGCATCGAGTTCTCTTTAATTTGCCGACGAATGAGTGTCTCGTTTGGACTGTGTTGTGGAATACGCTCCCGTTTGAGTGGATCGTGCTGCTCCTTTGACCTAGTGGCTTTCGGAGAGAAGACGCTAGCACTTTTGCCTGCTTAAGATCAGTATGTTCACATACAAATCAATGTAATGCATTATGGCCAAACCTCTGCTTCACGCACCTCGCAAAAGCTCACGTAAATGCTGGCCACACGGAGATCTAAAACAGGGAGAAAATGGAGATGTTTCGGCAGTGCGACGTTGACTAGAGTCTTGTGTGCGGTCAGATTCTCTTTTCACTGAACTCTCCTTCGCCGTTGCCGCATCTTCTCCACACCTCGCGTACGTACGAAGAGTGTGGCTCAGAGCATCAAGCCCTCCTTCTTGATCATACTGCGTTAGTGCTGCATGCGGCTAGACTACAGTCAGGTAAAATACTTGTATTTCTTGACTTCTATCTTACCTGCTCCTTGCCGCTCTCCAAAGCAGTCATCAACGTTTGTCGCTGATCGTCGCTGACGTCAAGAACCTCGGTCAATTCACACAATGTGGTTCGTATAAATCGAGAGAAGACTGCCTCCTTATCAAACGTGGCGGCCTTGCTTTTTGCCACCGACGACACCTTGCGTCGTTTTGGACGTTCGTGGAATGCGGCACACTCTTCCCTTTGAGCTGCTGCTTGTCGATCGGCGGAAACCAATCGGCGTCGCTTGTTTGGTAGCCGGAGTAGCAGCGGCACATGGTCTTCTATCTCATCGACCGGAACGCCGTCCGAGGACCCGTCCTCGTACATCAGCAGATACCTGACAGAGCTGGGGCAATAGTTCATGACCTTGCCCCTGATCTGCGTCTCATGGCCATGGCTGTCTATCTCCAGTTTGAATATGGGCTGGTTCACCCATCGCATTGGATGGCGATCGCTCCGCTTCATCGCAATGGGAGGAAAAATACAAAGTGCGTTCGATTCTACCGTTAGATCAGGCCCACTTCAAGCTGTACATGGCTACACGTATCATCACGTATCATCACGTGGTCCACACGATCTCCTACATGTAATTCTCTTGTGGTATACACCCTCTCGATAAAGTATATTACGTTCTCTATCTCGTTCTTCGCGTCACCTTGGAGCAACATCGAATAAACACGGTGACTCACTGTCAACACGCAACACGCCAAGGCTGCATCATCACCACCAGCACCCGACTGCAATGTCCTTCCAGCCGAAACAGGAACATGTCGCGCAGCTTCAACAGCAGAACCCAGACAAGAACCTCATACCCGTGTACCTGGATGCCGTGGCTGACCTGGACACGCCCGTGAGCGTGTTGCTCAAGCTGCGCGAGGGTCAGACGCACTCGTTCCTGCTCGAGTCTGTGGCTCCCGGCGAAAAAATCGCGCGTTATTCATTTATCGGTGCTGGCCCACTCAAGGTCGTCACTACGGGAAAGGGTCAGGCCTTTGAGGGTGACCCGCTGACCAACCTTGAGCAAGAGATGAAGAATTTTCGCACGGTGACGCTGCCAGAGCTCAACGTGCCCATGACGGGTGGCGCTGTGGGCTACTGCGGCTTCGACGCCATTCGCCACTTTGAACCCAAAATTGCGCCTTACATTGATGCTCAGAAGGACGTGCTGAAGGTGCCTGAGAGCATTTATATGTTCTTCGACACGGTCGTAATCTTTGATCACGTCTTCCACTCGCTTAAAATCGTGTCGCATGTCCGTCTCGACACTGGTGACCTTGCTGCCGCGTACAAGGAGGCCACCGACAAGATCATGGCAGTGAACGCGGCACTGGAGAAGCCTCTCGTTCGCCCATCCAGTGTTGCCCACGCTAGCGTTCCAGCCACATCCAAGATCGACTTGGAGGTGGCCTCGAACGTCGGCAAGGCCGGCTACATGGGCTTCGTCGACAAGCTAAAGGAGCACATTGTGGACGGTGATATCTTCCAGGCTGTGCCGTCACAGCGACTGGCTGTCGACTTGCCGAAGGACGTGACTTCACTGGATCTGTATCGCCAGATGCGCGTGATAAACCCGTCGCCTTACATGTTCTTCTTGGATATGGGCGAGGATTTCCAGATCGTCGGTGCCTCGCCAGAAATGCTTGTCAAGGTGGATCACGAGCGTATTGTGGAGACTCACCCCATCGCTGGTACCCGTCATCGTGGCGCCAACGACGAGGAAGACGAGGCTTTGGTGAAGGACCTTCTCTCCGACGAGAAGGAGCGCGCTGAGCACATTATGCTGGTGGATTTGGGCCGCAACGACGTCGGTCGTGTTGCCACACCGGGCACCGTGCGTGTGGAGCGCCTCATGCAGATCGAGAAGTACTCGCACGTGATGCACATCGTCTCGGTCGTCAAGGGTGACCTCCGTGAAGACCGCACCGTATACGACGCGTACCGTGCCATGTTCCCTGCCGGCACTCTGTCTGGTGCGCCTAAAGTGCGTGCGATGGAGCTTATTTGCTCTCTGGAGACTGAGCGACGCGGCGTGTACTCTGGCTCAGTAGGCTACTTCAGTTTCTCCGGGTTCCTGGACACGGCCATTGCCATTCGCACCATGGTGGTGAAGGATGGTAAGGTCTACTCGCAAGCGGGCGGCGGCATCGTGTACGACTCGGACCCGCAGGCCGAGTACATGGAGACAGTCAACAAGCTCGGGTCGGCTGTCAAGACGCTGGAAAAGTGCGCCGCACACATGGCGCCGACCGCGCAATAGATTGAGTGTGTGGCGTATTTTTTCTAGTTCAAAGCGAGATAAATACACGGCACATTTGCATGCTTACTTGCCATTGAGACACATTCGCATATTCGAAGTAGAGATTCTCGACCACTAACTGCTGTTCATGAGTCTTTGGACGTGATCGATCTTTTGTGACTCCACTACAATGTTACTGGTACTTAATGGACATGGACATGAAGCCTGAGTCAACTGAGTCACAAAGTTTGCTAGTGACCTCGCACCTTCGGTTTTTGATACTGCTACAACCAATCCTGAAGGAATATAGATTATCGGTGAAGAATTTGAATCAGACTGACCTTTTCACGATATAAAATGTGAAAGCAGCTTAAAATAAAGAAGCTCTGGATAGCCATTGACAACTGAGGCCAGTGTGAATATGTAGTAGCTTACTGTGAGCACGTGAAGATTCATGTGTTGGAGTACAAACAGTTTAGGGGATCTCTTCAATTACACCGTGTAATTTACTCATGTGTGACGATGAAGGTGACAGATATATGTATTAAATTTCGGCGGCCACCTTTATGAACATCAAAAGTAAGGTTCTCCGTCCTTTCTGTGCATAAGTACCTTAAACTTTAAGGCTTAAAGTCATGCTTTGCCGCGGTCAAAACTTGGTTTCACTATTCCTTACATTTCCCAGTCACTTCGCCCATCTCCATTGCCCGGGTCAAGCTCTTCACAAACCCACTGACCCGTCACCCTTCTGCTTTTTCGATCGGCTACAACAGCACCAGTATCAAAAACGCCCCGGAAGGCGCAATACGGCATTTGAGGCGGACCATTTCCCCATGGCCAAAGCTGATGACGACGAGGCGCCCCGTCGCCGTGGTCGCGCGCGATCACGCGCACCTCCGCCCACGTCCATAGCCTCCATGTATGCACCAGTTGACGCCCCCAATGGGCCGCCAGCGCGCTCATCTAAGATGAAAATGGCGTCGCTCATGGCTGTCGTGGACGAGGAGAGCAAGAGCAAAAGAGTGAAGGTCGACGACCAGCAATCCGACGACTGGGTGCCGCGCAATGCACCCATCAGCATCAGCAGCCTCACAGCCAGTAGCGAATCTCCAGCCTCGTCACTCTTCCAACACGAGATGCCGACCATCATTCCGAGTTTCAGTCGTGACAATGTGGAGGCCAATGGAGAGACTAAGAGCAGCGCAGCCAATGGAGACGCGAGTCCAGCAGCCACACGCTCCATGTTGGACTATTATTTCCCATCAGGACGCAGCGAAGTCAATGGATTGAGTGGGAATAGGTCGCTCAAGAGGAAGAGGAGAAGCTCTCGACGGGACGAGCTCGCGGCGGACGTGGATTTGCTCCGATTCGGAGTAGACGGCGCCAAGCTCGTGCCTCAAGGCCTCGTAGACCGCGTGGACGCCCATATGAGCCGCGCGGTGCTTATTAAAGTAGTGGGTAACCACGTGACCAATTGGTGCAATCGCTCGGGTTTCGCTCCCAGCTTTCTGCAAGAGATCACGACGCTATTAGCCGCGTACTATCCATGCAACTACCCGACGTTACTGGATGAAGTGCTCGCTGGGTTCTTGTTCAAAAGACCGGAGTTTATGGACTTATTACTGCCAGCGATGCTCGAGAAAATGAGTAAAGCGGGCGAGTCAGTGTCGACGACCAAGTACCCGGTGGCAGACGCTCTGGTGAGGATGTGTGGCTCTCCTGCAGCGACGACGGCGCGTCACGACCTGGCCTGTAGGTCGCTGCTTCGTTGTCTGGTAGAGAATAATGGAGACAGGTTCGCCCTCAGTCCGTGGATCGCAGCAGGCGCCATCGAGGCTAGTGACGCAGTCCTGCAGAATCTGTGGAAAGCGCTGCTGCCTTGCAGTCAAGAAGACGTGGAGGAGTTGAACTGGAGAGTAGAAGACCCGACGCAGCAGATCGTGGAGCTGTTGGCGGAAGAAGGAAAGCTGCGGGTGTGTCGGATCTCGTGCGGGTTCGTCAAGTTGCTGCTAAGTGACGACAAGTTGAAGAATCAGCTTGTAGAGTCGCAGTCGTATCTGCTCCCTGACTGCCTGGAGAGGGCGTTCAAGCACGCGAGCACGAGTTGGAGCAGTTCGCTGATGGCGGAGTGGCTGGAGCGACGACGGAAGGACGCTGGAGCTTTCCGAGATTTGGTGGATTTCTTTGTTCGCTTCAATGCCAAGTTGAGTCTCAGGAAGCCAGAATGGTTTGTCAATCACGTTCTGAGCTTCGCTCTCTCTCCTCACTGTCCTGTAGCAGAGCAGGAACTGGCCCTGAGAGCGATCCTAAGCGACCACATGTCCTTCCTGCTCGGTACTCAGTCACCAAAGAGCAAGCAAAACGGTTCGGGTGAAGCTTCAGCTGCCACTGACCTTGATGTAGTCGGGAGCCAGTCGGTCTTGGAAGCTCAAAGCAAGATAGAGAACCTTCTTGGCCTCTTGGTTGCTGCCACTGCTCGCACCAGTGCCTTATTCCTGGACATTTGGTCTCAAGCTTGGCTCGACAAGAGACTCACTTTGTCTTGGAGCTACGTCTACGCTCTGCTATGCGTGGCCATTCAGGACACCGTCGACGATCGAAGTGGTCTTGGCCAGAAGCTGCAGAGCTTTACAACTCGAGTCTGTCGCTCCTATTATGGCCGTTTGGCTGATCTAGGCAAGGACGAAGAAGTCGCCAGCAAGTTCTCAGACGCGCTGAACCTGCTGCTCCCGTCTACTCGTCCAGTCGCTGCTCTTATGCTGCACGAGGTGCTAGCTGCCCTCGCTGACTTTGAGCAGAAGCACTCGACTGACGCGTGCTCAATCTTCGGCAATGCGGTCGCTCTACACCTCAGCAGTTGTGGTGGATCTGTGGATAGCAATGTGAAGCGAAGCGCTGTACAAAAGGCGCTTGTAGAATATGACCGCTCACCTGTCTCTCGTGCCACGACTGCTGACGTGCTGATGACGCTGAAGACCCTGGCCTCGACCGAGAGCAGCACTGGTGACTTGACTCGACGTGTGCTATCTAGCGGTCCAGTGGTGCGGTTGCTGTCAAGTCTACTGAATTATGGACGACGGAGACGCAGACAAGAAGTGCTCCTAGACGTCATGAGTGTCGTGGTTGTCAGTAACACATCGACGACACTGAACCGAGATTGGGCGCGTCAATATGTCGTGCAGGAGCTGGTCCATTGTGCGTATACAGGTCCACCCAATTCGGCGAGGAGAGCGACCGCGTTGCTGCAGAGCATTTCCCGACACAACAGTCGCGGGATTGGAGCGTTCTTGTGGGTGGTTCTACAGCAGTGCACGAAGTTGTGCTGTGGACTTGAAGAGAAGGAGAATGTCCACAAGCTGGCCCATTACTCGGAGAACTACCAGGGAAGAGCTGACACTTTCGCAGAGCTGGTGAAGACGATGGTGGCTACTGTCCCTGCGAGTACAGTGCGGGACGTACTCAACTTTGTGGAGCAGAAACTCGCTTCGTGTTCCGTCGGGAAGACGCGGATGAACCTGTTTCTGCTGCTGCTACTCCGGAAACTCGTCGTTTGTGAGCTGCAGTGTGGCATGCTCCTCCCTGTTGTGCAACGTGCTGTGTGTCCATTGGCTTGCTCGGATCTGGATCAAATCCTCTTAATCCAGTTGCAGTTGTTGAAGGCGCTGTGTGCTCGACTCGTAGCTGTCCGTCATCATCCAGTAGCGTCAAAGCTATCAGACGATGCTGAGGACTGGAAACGCTGCGAGGATCTGGTATGCAACGAACGATTACGAGCAGATCTACAGTCAGTGGCGAAGGGACGAACTAGTCGTGTCTCTCAAGTGTTAGCGCAAGGGATTCTGACGTTCACGCAGCAGCTCAGACATGAACGCCCCATAGACGATGAAGACGGGGCTGCAAGGATACCGAAGAAAGGCAGAATGAAATGACCCAACACATGAAGTAGGATAAATAAAATGCCTCACTCCTCCATCCAAGCTCGTCTCTGTGGGTACGTCTGTGTGTCTTTGGCGAAGGCAACTGACCATTCTGTGTCTGTACTGTCCAGCGAGGTCTTGGATGCATGTCATTCCTCTGTTGGCTCCTCCCACGAACATTTTCCGGTGCGAAGGTTATGGAAGAATCGCGTTGGCATCGGCGGCTGTGCCTCAGGGTCTTCCATCTCCCGCCACTGAAGCTCAGAGCCGCAACGGCGAATCTCCTGCACCAGAAGAAGGTACGTGAGCGATGGGATGATACGTCAGGGCGAAGGGCGATGACCTACCGAGGAATGAGCGAGCGCGATCGCTCCTGGTCCCGCGCCTGCGTACAGTCGACCTGGAGCTCGCTCGGATTGCAGACGTTGGAAGTTTGTGATGACCAGATCGTTGGTCGGATCCAAGTCCAGTGCGCGACGGTAGAGAAGCTCCGCCTAGCGATTCCGTACAAAGTTTAGCCACATGAGAGTGATGACAGCAAGACACTTGGACGTACCTTGTCGATATCGCGATGGACGCACTGTAGATACACGGCGTAGTTGGCAATGGTCTGCAGTAAGTGCAGGTTTAGTCCTCTCCCTCTTGGTATACAGCGATACGTGGCTGACAACTCACGAGAGGGTTTTTCGGCGTCAGAAGAAGAGCCCAGCGGAAGAAATGTTGCTCGATATCACGTAATGTGCTGGTTAAATCGCTAGCTGTAAGATCGCGAGCCTGTTGGAAAAGTGTCAATGCACGCTGCCACGACTTCGCTGCAGGATAGCGGCATGAAATAACGAGTAATAACGCGAAGCAAACGAGCGTCTGAGTGTCTTGGGGCGACACCTGGCAGCAAGAAGCGGCGTCAGCAAGTGCTCAAAGCGGACCCTTGTCTTTGAACGCAGACGTACTTTCAGTGCAGCCTCGTACACGGGGAAAGCTTCTTTGTACTGTGCACCAGCCACCAAGAAGTGTTAGATCAGCTCAGCGCACGACCAAGACGTGAACGGTGTCTTCTACCTTGTGTACCAGGACGTGTAGCTGGAGAGCGTACCGCTTCACTTTCTCGAGCTGTTCAGGATCCTTCATGTTCAGTGGCTTCTGGGGATTATCGTGATAGCGCAGAGCTCTTGCAAGGTCGCGCAAACTCCAGTTATTGATTCCGTGCCACATCTTTCGTCGATACCGGCGTTGGACGACTATTGCTGCTTGGCCATCATTGACTCGACTGTAAACTCCACGTCGTGGGTTGAAGAAGCGAGTGTCGTTGTCCACATTAGAGACGAGTTGCCATTCGTCCGGTGGCATTGGGACATCCTGGTTAAAGAGACTGAACGGCTTCTGCTCCACGACGACGCGCTCTCCTGATAAACGCCGGAAGATGTAGACGAACCGACCGCGGTCTCCATCAAACTGCTTGGAGTAGGATGTCTACAATGATTTACGAGATGAGTTTCCACAGGTACGGTAGTCCACGGGACTCAAAACAACGGACAACGCACCAGGGCGAGCTGAAGGCGAACGTTCCTCGCGAGATGTTGTCGGAAGCGTGACTGAACCTTGACGATTAAGTGCCGCTCTCGGTGGAGTTCAGCACTTCGCTGCTTTGATGCCTGCTCTTCACGTTGTCGCTGTTGCTCTGCAATCACATGCGGCATCATCGAGTATGTTGGCATACGCACACCATACTTCAGCACGTAGCTGAGGATCCACTGAAGTGCGAGGAGCTTGTGGGGGCCGTTCAAGATGCGATGGATTTGGTGGGAAATGAACTCAACAGACTGCTCCTCGCTACCATCGTCTCCTTCGGGGTTTCTCAATCGCATGGACTGAAAACAAGAAAACTGGAGAATGGCGAGCATGAACACTGGATCGAGATCGTATCGGTGTTTGGTGGACGTGGCAGGGGTGTACATGAGGAGCTTGAAGGTGCCGACCCACTCCAGAACGCGTACAATATGGCGCTGGACGGACTGGTCTATATCGCTAACGAGTTCGGACCGAACAGCACCGTTGAAGATAAGCTAAAGCACCAGAAAACGAGCACATACACTGAGTGGAATTGACGCAAGACACTCACAAGAAAGACGTTTACCTTTCCCAGTGAGGTATCACTCGGATCAGCGTGGCAGCGCAAGCCCACAGGACCCTGCTGCTTGTCTTTGAGAATGAGTATCCTTCTTGCGAGTGCGAGTAGCATCATGTTCGGCTTCAGCACTGGATATGCGACCAAGTCTCTCACGACGACAGTCTTCGCTTGCTTAGTTGGGATGCTCGATCTCGAAGTCTGTAGCTCAGCCAAGGCCTCCGTTACGAAGCCAAGCTGAAGCTGCAATGATTGCCGTTCCGATTCCTCAGAAATGAACTGATCTATTTGCTGCTGCGAGACACAGAGCACTTGACAACAGGATCGAGCGGGGTCGACGACTTCAAGTTCATAGGCTTCGTCAGAGTCGCCTGCACCAACGCTTGTACTGATCTCGATGCTTTCTTTGGCTGTTGTTTCGTTCGGAGCGTTGGGCTCGGGCTTAGCTCGATAAAGCGAGAAGCGAAGACGCCAAATATCTAAAGGGAAAATCGCAACACCAACTCGTCGCCGCCGCTTTTCTCGGATTCGGTCACGTCTCGCCGCCTTCACAGCGTTCAATCGTTTCCACGCGCCCAGAAGCCAGAGGTGGCGATGCGTCCATTTTACTAAGCGAAGCCACATGCGTTCAATGAAAATTCCTCTCTCTACACGAAGACGACGCAACTCTGACCGGGCGTGGACTCGACGCTGCGTTCGAATGACAACGCGACGTACTCGTTGGTACTCCAGATACGGTTTTCGTCGACGAACGAGACTCTGGAGCGTCGTAGCTGCCTGACGCTCCTCCTTCATTCGTTGTCGCCGCCTCAAGTAAATCCTCCAAGCGACGAAGCCGACCCAACTCGCACGCAGTCGAGTCGCAGCACAATACTTTCGTGCGTACTCTCGCAAGAGCTCTCGCTTACGTTCAAGCCTCCAAGACTCCATTATTTCGTGCCAAGTTGAAGCCAAACACGGCAATTGGACCAGAGTTTCGAAGCACAATCGTCGTAAAGATTCTTGCAAGTGGTCAGGAGCGTTTTCTCCTCGTCGCCACTTCCACATCGCGTGCTGAATGCCAGGCTTGCTTTTGCTGAGATTCGCACCGTTATCGCTGTAGAACTGCTGTGCAAGCCACTCCATGGCACGTGTGAAGCCATCAAAATCCATTTCGTATGAGGTGCCAGACGTAAGATTGCTCGCAAAGAGGAAGGCAGCATCTCCGATACTCAACAACTTCGGTTGGATGTTGGCTTCATACAGAAGTTTACTGAACTTGACGCTGTCCACGCCCGACGCCGGTGGGTGAGATCGACATAGCGTGTCGAAGATCTGGCGCAGAACTGTCGAGTACAAGTCGGTGGAGCGCATCGAAGGTGTCCAGTCAACGCCTTTACTCCAAAACGCAGCTTCGATCGTCTTCTCTGCGCAGTCCAAGGGAACTTTTACGCGAAAGAAGTTGCCTAGTTGGCAATCGGGCGACTGGAAATCGTGCATTGGGTGGCGGACGAAGCGATACAAATCCTCCATCCATTTAGTGGGCAGTGCAAGGACTTCCGATTTGTTGCGTGACTTCCGCGGCATGATGATCCATACGTACGCACCTCTCAGCGTTATAAGGGACTCTAATGAGCATGATTCGTCACGTAAGAAGGCGATGTCGAGTACAGCGACGTGGGAACCATTATTATCTCCCTCGCAGGTCATGCTGTTGATGTGTGTGAAGTGGATAACAGTTGGTTCTTCGACCAAGACGAGACGACATGGCGACGCGAGAGCGTGCTCAATGTCTTGACGGTGTGGCGTCTTCAATACTGCTGTCGTTGGGGTTGTGACGTCAACGAGAGAGTACAGCGGCATCAACCACTCCTTCTTGCTGTTGAATTTCTACGTACAGACATCAAAATAGTTAGAGAGTACCAGCACAATACAATGCAATGCAATGTAAAGCCTACTTTTCGAGGAAGTAGCTGGGGCTGCGGTCCGTACGGCACATTTTCATCTTGGCTGTCCTCTTGCTCCCCACTCTGACAACGTTTCGGCATCTTTGGTGGCGACTTTGGTCGCGTTTTCGCACGCTTGGGTACTCGGAAGAGAACCGTGGAGTCTTGCAGCTGCTGGAAGCACACGAACGCTTGCCAATGACTAAAAATCTCAACAATTGATGAGGAAGGTGACACTTCAAGTGGCTGGCGCATAGAATAAACTTGTGTTGCCGTGGCAGACGAGGTACGTGTAGATGATCCAGGAGCCTCAGCACCCGAAACATATTGAATACGATCGGGTATTCCTGCGTTGACGAGGCTTTGGGCGACTTCAAAGTGGTGACGCCACAGTTGCGAACTGCAGCTATTTCTACGAAGCGCTTTCGCGTGGAAGTTGTTTAAAACTAGCACTGTGAACGGAAGTAGTGTTACCGCAGCAAGATGTTTTTCTTGCGAGACGGCAAGAATTGAGCCTCGGTACATGAACTGGAAATTGACTTGAGCATCGTTGAGTAAGCATGAGGCGATGGGTGGAGTTACTTGGCTACGTAGGTCAGCAACTGTAGTTCTCAATGCAATCCAGATATTCCCGATGCCTAGCAATGAAAGCTGCGAGGTAGAATTAGTCGATACCACGTCAAGCTTCAAAGTAAACACAGGTGAACGTTGCTGCAATCTCTCGACGTAAGAGAGTTCTTGAGCCGGTCGTTCAAATGCATGCTCGTGCAATCCTAGTTGAAGCAGCAGGGACTGCTGAGCAAGCGGTGTCATGTAGCACAGCGCTATCGGGTAAGTCACGTTTGGCGATTGAGTCTCAATCGCACGAGGACGTTTCCACCATGACGCATCGTTCGCGGAGTAGAAGTGTCGTCCAGTGCGAATGCGTTCAAGGCAATAAGTCGACCACTCGCCGAGTGAATCAGAAGAATTAACCACATGCGAACTCGGGTACATTGGAAACCGAACGTGATAAAGCAGGAAACGACCACCAATCTTGATACCCACACGTCTAGAAGACCGTAAACATCGATTGTGTGCTAGTTTCAATCCCGCATTATCTTTTGTGCATGTAACCTTGGTTGGAGAGGTTTTACTCGAGCCATTATTTTGTGAAGAGAAGTTGGTGCTGGAATGCGGTACTTTGTCTTCGAATTCGGCGGAGGAGACTTGGATACGAAGTCTAAGCCTAGGCAATACGGAGCAGCAAAGACAGAACACCACCCAAGCACCGAGTGACGCTGCGATCGTGCTGACTTGTGCCACTCGCTTAAGTTGCCAACAGGCTTGAGAGCGGGAGCTTTCCTCTTTTGTAAAAAGGATGAAAGGCACGAGCTCCGTGCATCCATAGTGAGCCTGAACGACTGACAGTGACTTTGACCCAGTCTCCAGTTGCCAGGCTCGCTTTCGCATTTTTCTCCAGATTTTGGTTGTATTTTCCAGCAGATTAATTCGCAGTATTGGCCATGGTGGAGCACGAAGATCGAGAGTTGTGTGTTCTGGTGCAAGCGAGAGAAGCAAACAGTGCGTGACTGCCGCGATACGACCGATCAGTTCATGAGGCTCCACCGGGAAGCTGGCCAACGCAGTTAGATCGTCAACACTGAGTCGCTCAAAGTCTCGACGTAGTGCCGCAACATCAAACTTGGACAATGCAAATGCCGCCGAAGACGCTGTAGAGACATCGATCGAGTCTTCTGTTCCCATGCATCTACACTGCACCTGGCCTGGCCTTCGCGAACAAACTATTCCTGCCCGACGCAATTAAGGTAACGAAAGCGTATAGCGATGTATTAAAAGGCTTGTTATCATCTATTTGATTTTAATAGAATGCTGTTAATAGCGAGCGACAAGCTCTTTAAATTCTTTTAAAAGGAGGTCGAGATGAAAAGAGTGTCATCGTCAATGGCCAAACCCACACGAGAATCCGTCGTGACGAGCATCGTGTCCTCCGCGGTGTAAAAGTACTCAGCCGAGTTCAAATCCGTGGATTTGCTATCTGGAGCCACCACTGTCCCCGAAGTCGTGGCGTAGTGCATCACGCCAGCACTAAGACCGTCGACTTCAGCGTTGCCTTGCATAGCAATACTTGACTTGCCATTAGAAGTCGACTGGACGATACCGATGGGGCTTCCGAATGTTTCGATCACTGCGAAATTCTGATGCAAAATGTCGTCGCGCTTGCCCACATAGGCGGTGACGAACCCATCAGCCCCCACAGGCAGCATGTCGTGCACAATGGACTTGTACTTGCTGTTGGAATTTGAAAAGAACAGCGTAAAGGTTGACGGTGCGACTGGAAGCACCGGTGTGAGCTCATTTAGAGATAGAGTCGAAGGCGAGAAGCTGAGAACGCGAACACTAAGCCTGCCATTCAGCGTTGGATTGAGGAAGCTTACGGCCAGGCGGTTACCCGTCAAGACTCGCGGTCGGGGCGTGGTGAATGAGCTGTAAAAGACAAAATCTCCACTAACCTCCGGGAAGACGTAGCTGCTGCGGAAGTGCATGGTTTTGTCGGAGGATACGCTCAGGGTAGCCACTGTCAACGCGTTGTTGTTTGCTTTATCGTGGAAAACGATAGCCATGGCGTTATCGCTAAGAGCCACCGATTCCGGATAGTGACTCGGCCGGTACGCAGTGTTACAGACACTCGTGAACGCCGACTGCGCATTGCTCGCAAACGTGGCGGAGCTAACGCATAGTCCACTAAGATCGGCATTTGTCTTGGTTGTACTAGAAAAGGTGTTAAGCTGTGTGTAGTACGGAATGACAAACCCAGAATCCGCTCCAAGGCCCTTTAGAGCCAGTGGAGCTCCAAATTGGTTCTCGATGTCGGCATCGTTCTTGACACCGAAGGTTTTAGCCGCTGTTGACAAAGTGATCGTGCCATCAGATCCGACAGTCCCCACTCGAGCACTTTGCCAGTATCCCGAGGCATCGTATTTCTCGTAATATGCCACGACGAAGGAGGAGCTGGAGAGAAGGGCGATAAAGTTGGTGACGGAACCTTTCGTGATTTCCTTGGCCTTGGCCTGGTTAGCCGTGACAGAACCGGCAGCACCATCAAGCGTGGCAGGGAATACCGACACCACATAATCTGTGTCAACAGTGAGGACAGTCATCAACGTGTCTGAAAGCGTGGCCAGACCACGGACGTTGTTCGCCACTACAATCGCCTCCCCTGCTTCGAGTGACTTGCTACTGGCATTGTACGACAAGGTCGTGATAGCTGAGTCGGTAGTGCTACTTGAGCCGACGGTTTTGGTGCGGACATAGCTCATCACGTTCGTGGAGTAGTAAGCGTTGGACGTCCCCATCGGAGCAAAGTAGACGTAGAGTATGTCAGCAAGGTCAGTTCCAAGTGTAAACTTATTCAGATAAGCGGTAGTTCCGGCGCCAGCGCGTATGACGTTGTTGGTGTTGAAGCTGACAGCGTCACCTACAGAAGGGGTTGACCCGTCAGTTGCGGAGAGCTGGTTGGTGCTGAAGCGAGTCACCGCTCGTAGACTTCCCTTGGTCACCGGCCGGTCGGCAAAGTGCAGTGCCCACAAAGCTGCTAGGTTGAGGATGACGAAGATGAAGCCGACACTGCAGAGGATAACATTCTTGGTGCAGCAACCTCCTGTCTTAGGTATACCCATCTTGACTTGTGATGCGTCGACGCCTTCAGTACCCATTTCGACGCAACGAGAGACGCAGCAAGATATGATAGAACAGCAAGAGTACCTTGAGCTGGAAGAGGGAGAAAAACAAACTGACGATGATTGCCGAAGGAGAAATTTCGAGAGGTGTTACGCCGAGTGTTGACCGAGATAGAAAAGCTCCTTCCTCCCGAATTAGTCATCACGACGGCAGCAATTCACAACACTGCTGCCAGTTTTCAGCTAAGACAAGGCATGCGACGAGGAGGAAGGCGCTCCTCTGTCGCCATTCATTGGGTCGTCGCTCCGTCTTCCCAAAAACAAATGAAGTGAATTGAGCACTTCAACTTGGAGCTTACGAATACCAAGTAAGTTTCCACCCCCAAACATAATGTGTTATTTTGCTCCCTTTAAAATTCTATCTTTAAAATCGGTGAGCGTACCGGTATCCCGATAATTCAATGTAAATAATGTGGGTCACACAATGTTGCACGAGAGGCTCATAACGTTCATTCCAAAGGAAGACGACCAAGTCAAGCAGCTCTAATGGTCCTCGGCAAGTTCATTCGTCACTACCTGGACCGCGAGCCCATGGTGGTGCTATCGTGCGCCATCGGCGCCGTGGGCGTGACTCTCCCGCTGGTCGTAGTGCCCATTCGTCGATCCATGGGCCTTCCCACAGACCAGTACGACGGCCCCATCATTCCCGATTACATCAAGAAGTCGCGCGGCCACTTGGCAACACCCGAGCCCGTCACGGCGGCATAAATTCAAGAGACAAGTTGCACCTGTCAATACAAACACCAGGATGTTCGACACACGTGCTTCTCAAAGTTTGGCTGATGTAGAATGGCAGGTAATATATTCACGATGAAAGACCTCGTCTACTTCACAAAATTATAAATCCTTAGTGTGGACAGGTTCCTGTTCAGTGATACTACGTCATATCCTTCATGGCGCTACAGCTTTTACTGTCGCCGAATAGAATTGCGTGTTGTAGGACCTGGCTGCTTCCAGATTTCGTTCAACACGCTCATTAAAGGCGGCTTCGATTTCGATAGTAGCAGCTTGCTGCATGAAAGCTGCCGCGTTGAGTCGCACTGCTTCTTGTTGCTGAAAGTGGCGTAATGTTGACAAGATACCATTCTCCACGAACGCGTGCGCTAAGAACGCAACCGTCCCGACCATATAATTCTCTTCGAACGCGTCTTTAATGTAACTCGGTGAGTCCAGAAGGTCGACACTGACCACGGCATCAACAGGAGTGTCAATAGAAACGCTGGTGGACGTTGCAGGACGAGAACAGGTAGGTAGCGAATCCTCAGTGGCCTTCAAAATCGTTGCACAGCTCATACCCAATCGAATCACGTTCGTCTTGGAAAGGATCTGCCTGAGAAAGTCCTGATCATCAAATAGAGAGGAAATGTCTTGATGAGCATCGTTTTCACTGGACCATTCGTCTAGTGATACTGCGAGACGATGGAGATCATCAGCCCGCAGTAGTATTTCGGCACTACTGGTACTCGATTCTATTTCTCTGGCGTAGATGAATAGACTGGAGGCTGACTCTAACGCAACCATCTCGACAACAGTGCAATTACCACAAACTTGAATTGTCTCGGAGTAAACGACCCGCTTCTCATATCCTTCAGCGTCAGTTAAATCCAGATAAAAGGTTAGTCTCGAGTCACAACGTACTCGAGTGATGATCCAGTCTGCCCATTTCGGGGTCATCACCGGCAAATCTCGACGAAGCAACTTGGAATTATCGAGATCGAAATTGTTGAGAGCAACAATTCTTTCGTCAGGTTCTCCTTCAATGTGGCAAGTTATGTGAGCTGCACCCTTGCAGCTGAGTAGGACAGTGACGAGGACATTCCTCCCTCCTACACTTCGTAGATCCTTTCCTAGTGTTTTGTAGACCAATACATCCGATTTAGAAGCGCGACTCACAGCTCGATGGTCGATACGTGGGTTTGTAGAAGCTGCTTTAACAATCTCTCGAAGCCAAGTCAGCTTAGGACCTTCAGTCTGCAAAAATGGTTCGTAGCACGCCGATAAATCCAGTGTTTTAGTCAGCAAAGCTTCTTCATTCCCTGTCGTTTCTGTCCTCAACCCTTCACCAGCGTCAACATCTCGACCTTCGTCCTCTATTGTGGCCAAATCCCCTTCATCACTAAGTGAAACAGCTATGTAGTCGCCTAAGGTGGGAGATCTGGTGCTTACACCTTCCTGGTTACAATTGCCGTAAACTACTTCATTCTCCTCATCCAGCTGGACACGGTTCTCTTCATTTTCGGGTTGTGAGACAGAAGCCCTGCCATCCTCCAAGTTCTCCGCAACACTTTTGCTCTCAATGAACGCAGCTTGTTTCTTCGTCTTTCTTTTGGCGGAAGTGATTCTCGCCCCCGCGCCTCGCCTCCGTTCAAAGAGCGGTTCAATTGCCATCCTTAGCTCCATTGCTTGGCTGTACCTGTAAATGTCCACATCTGTCCGCGACGAGAGCCCAGTCGGAGGTTGAGGACGTAAACATTTCGTTGATTCCTCGTCCTCTCTACTTTTTGGTCTCTGCGGCTGGACTGGTATCTCCGAAGGCAGCGTAGCAGCTGTCGTAGCCGATTCCGCACTCTCCTTCAGCTTGTTTGAGGCGTGTGCGATCATGTAAGACCTTGGCGAGGATGTCAGCACCGGTTCGAGCTGGTGGGTAGCCGGTAGCGGGAACATGTTCTTTAAGACGCCATCACGAGCCTTCGATCGAGGCGAAGGGAGCGGCCGTCGAGGTGCCACCAAATACTGCAGGGGATCCATTTATCTGAAGTTGAAGTGACTAAATTTTGAAGAAAACATTCACCAAATCACAAACTGGACTAAATTTAGATACCACGTCAGCAACGGAAATGCTCAGACTTCACTACGCTTTTTTTGCGCCGACGTGACGATCAATATTAAGCAATGAGCTCTCCGCCTGTATATGTGCCAACGCAGGTGCGCGACGCGTGGTTCCAGAAGCTCCGCTCGTCCGTGGCCAATAAGGGATGCTTCGATTGCAACAAGCGCCACCCGACGTGGGCTACGGTCACGTACGGCGTCTTTATCTGCTTGGACTGCTCGGGATACCACCGCCGTTTGGGTGTCCATCTGTCATTTGTGCGCTCCATCGACATGGACGAGTGGACTGAGGATCAGCTCAAGACCATGAGCGAAGGAGGGAACGCCGAGGCTCGCAAGTTCTTTAAGCAATATGGCGCCGCAGAGATGACGAGTGTACGGTGATACACTTGAGCAATTAAAAAAGGATTTAAAGATATTAATGGAGTTGTGTGTGCAGATTGAGGCCAAATACAACTCCAAGGCGGCACAGATGTTCAAGATCGCATTGGCTAAGAAGGCTAAGGCGTCCACGCTGCAGATTGTCGCCCCAGTAACGGAAGAGGTTCGAATTGGCTATCAATTACTTACCAAGTTGGGACAATTAGGACTGATAGGTGGTTCTTCATTGCTGCAGGACACTCGTGACCATGATATTGATGGTCTAGAGGCATTAGTGAAGCACGTGGAGATCAAGAGTGAGACGAATAACGCTGCTGCAGTGCATGGGCACTTGAAGCGTGAAGTTCCTGCTGCAACTCCAGCTGTGAAGAAGCCGTCACCGGTTTTATCGACTGCTACTCAACCGTCAGGTTTGCTGAGTGTTAACCGCCCGGTAGTGCTGCTAGGAGCAAAGTCCGGTGAAGTGATGACACCTGCTACGAAATTGAACAAGGTAAAAGCTCGATGTAGGCTGTAATGTGCTGGCAGTGCGCTAATCGTCGAGGCTTTGTGTCTTGAACCCGAAGTCCACTCGAGTTGGAGCCACGAAATTGTCTACAGGAGGCAAGACGACACGCCTCGGTGCGACTAAACTCGCAACCGGTGATGATTTCGACTTTGACGACATCCCGTTCGAGGTGCGTCCTGAATTGTAGTGTGTTGCCTAGTGGCCGCATGTCTTTGAATTAATTTAGGCTCATTATTCATGTAGAATCCACCGCCGCCTCCTCCTAGTGCTGAAGAGCTCTCAACAGAGAAACAGATAAAGGATGACGAGGCCTTGGCACGGGCATTGCAGGAGGACGAAGAGTAAGCTCCTCCGTTTTCCACAACGTTGGCTTCATATCTAACACGCTTGAATGTTGCTCAGGGAGCGCACATCAGCGGCAGCACCGGCGCCGGCAACGTATCAGCCCGCTCCGGTTCAAACGCAGACGTTGGACAAATACAAGAACGCCAAGTCTATTTCGTCCGACAACTTTTTCGGTGGTGAGGCGGCGCAGGCAGATAGCTCGAAGCTGGCAAGATTCCAGGGCTCTCAGTCGATCTCGAGCGATGCTTTCTATGGCAACAACTCTCGTGGTCGATCGGCGTCCGGAGAGCGTAAGTTGGTCATGTTATTACTGCTTAAAGTTGTTGTGAATAGCTTCTAACGACCGATTTTGCTGCAGTGACGGACGAAGCTGCCTACCAGTTGCAGCTGATGAAGGACAACATGACCAACAAGGCGGCCAAGGTAATAAATAGCTCGGACACTATTCTTGTTGTTGCCACTTTATATGCTCTTACAAACGGTGCCATTGTTAACTTCGACAGCTGAAAAACATGACGAGCGGATTTTTCAACGACCTGCAGACTCGCTACTCATAGGCAGCAACGACGACCAGCATCCGTCGAGCTGTACATGTAGTCATATTGGATCGATCCACGTGGCAGCTCTTAAGAACCTGCGCACAGTTAATATAGCCGGAAAGGTGGTGACAATATATTTCTACACTTGGAAGATGTATTAATAAGCCAAACGAAAATATAACACGTACCTCTTTAATCCGATACTGTTGTCTTCAACTACTTGAACGAAGTACTTTGGTCCTTTACAAATCAATACTGAACCTCCCAAAACTAGTGCATTTCGAACACGCGTCGCTTCCAGCCGCCACTTTTGGATATCCGACTATCTGCCGTTTAAAGCTCCGGAAATGTTGACCAAGCATGTCATGTTGCTGGCACTTGTGGCGCTCGTGCTGGGGAATGCCCCATACGTTCAGGCCGACAACAAAGAGTGCGAAGGTCCGTACTCCGATCGAAACTGCCAAAATTGACGCCATGTCTGACTCAATGCTGCTGCTGTGGACAGTGTGTGTCAAGGTGATCGATGACTTAAAGGCGACGTACGCACAGCTTCAGGAGGAGAACCCCAAGGGAAAGACGCAGGCGTTGGCTGAGAAGGCTGTAACCAAACTTTGTGGCAAGAAGCTCAGCACGAAGGATAACAAGCTGGTACGGGATTGCAACGCTGGTGAAAACTAACGGAGGCTAACGATTATTCAATTGGGCAGTGCTACAACCTGGAGCCGCTGAAGAAGGATGTGGCTCGCCAGGTTACGTTCAAGAAGGATACACTCAAGATCTGCAAGTCTCTTGAAAAGAAGAATCCCGACTTCTGCTCAATGCGATACCGTACGTGGCGAGTTGCTATCCTTGGGCCCGCGTTCGAGTGACTAACTGGTTCTTTCGTGTGATCTTTTTTTTTTACGTGCAGCCGTCAAGACGGATGCTAACACAGACTACTCTAAGATGCGCGTGAAGCAGCTGCGGAAGATCCTGGCAGAGCGCGGCGTTGAGTGCGTCGGCTGCGTCGAGAAGTCCGATTTCATCGCCAAGATCAAGGACACCGAGTCGTTGCACACGGAACTGTAGACAATTGAGGCACAGCGTGTTAAGTCGAGCAAAGCTTTTTGCACAGCCCGCGCGTAATGCCTTTTGAATCAATAAAAAGCCATCAAACTACCCAACAACTGATCACTGGTGATCACTTTGAGCTGATACCAATTTGAAAAAAAGAAGCTCTTACTAATAGTTTAAATTAGCGACGATAAGGCAGTTTGCTACGTCTGAATCCAGCGCTTGTGTTCTTTCGTGGCAATTTTTCTTCGAGGATGTAGCGCTGGACGTGTCGTGCAGTTGGTCTGCGTTGTTGCAACTCCACCCACAGTGAGCAGCATCAATTGTCTCTGCTTACAGACCGAGCTGTGCCGTACGAAGGATCTGAATGACGGACGATCCCACAAGCACGAATAGGAAGAAACCCATCAAGATAGGACCGACACTATATCCTTTGTCCTCCTGAAAGCGGCAAGCCACGTCAGTACAAACGATTACTACAACACCAACACCTGAGACTGTTGTGCGCACCTTTTGAGGCTGAGAGACCTGTCCACGCTTGGTGATGTTAGCTAGGTGCTTCTCGGAGCGTAGACGCATCTTCGCGGGTGCGGCCATGGCGACTACGGATAGGGTTACTGAAGGCGGTTTGATGAGGATCTGGAAATGGTCGTGGTGCTACCGGAATGTCGTCTTCACGCTTGATTTTGACGAATCAGAGAGCACGCCACGTGTCTAGCCTGCTTCTCTGATTTTATGTTCAAAACACCAATTTAGGTGAGCCACATGATTTGATCCTTGCTACGCTGAAATGCAAATTTAAAGAGCTTTAGCAGGTATTATAGCAGTACTGCCAGGCAGTCTACAACTTACTGACGAGCGTTAATCTCGCTGGCCAGTCTGTTCTCAAGCAGCATGTGGCTCTCGGGCGCCAGACCCACACAGGCGCGGAAGATGTTGATCATACACTCACGCTGGGCGAAGAGCGCATTGACCACAGGTGTGCCACGAGGCACGAGAGGAGCCTTGAGCATGTAGCTGAGGATAGAGAGAACGGAATGCATGTGCTCGTACTCGGCAGCGCCCTCCTTCTTGAGCGTAATGCGCTCCGCGAGTTCGCACACGAGCACCAGGTCTAGGATCAGAGGAGATGCCAGCAGCGAGTCCTCGCACGTGTTGTGCATGGAGATGGTATTGTTGCCATTCATGAAAATCTTGGACGTGTACTCATCCAGGGCGCGCTTACTGTCGCCCACGAAAGGCACGTACTTGATGACCACAACGTGATCCGGGTGCTCGTTCTCCTTATAAAGCAGACGGTTGGAGGCCACCATGTCGTCGACGACGTTCGACTTGGAGATCTCCTTGGAGCGGAATTGTTGCGGTGCCGACAGGTTCTTGCCGTCGTTGTTGCCCAGGTGGTTGTAGCTCACAATAGACGTGGGCTTGATACCAGCCGACACAAGGAAGTCCACGAGCACAGACTTAATCTTGGTCTGACCAGACTTGAAATCATCTCCACCCACGAACACCTTCTTCTCCTCAGCCAGGTCCAGCACACCAGGCACGAACGTGTTCTGCGGACTACCGTTAATGTACGAGCAGCCCTCGAGGATGGAGGCAACCGCGAAGATGGTGGAGGGCGACAGCTCAGCCTCACCGGCCTTGATGGACTCAAGCAGGTTGGCTGATGTGTCGTTCACGCCCTCAACAATGTCAGAGAAACGCTCCGTGTTGGCAGACCAGAGAACGATGACCTTATCCAGGCTGTTGCTCTGCTTGAAGTCACGGATCTGCTGACGCACAGCGTCCAAGTTTTCCTGCTTTGAGCCCTTGAGCAAGTTGTCAGCGCGGTCGGCCTGGTTGGCGGCGATGAAGTCCGGGTAGTAAATCGACGGCAGCGGCTTGATCTTCTCAAGGTGCGGCACGAGCTGACGCTGCAGATCGTGGTCCAGCACCATAGCGCGCTTCATGGCCTCAGCCATGTTAAGAGACGAGATGTCCCAACCTCCGATGACTAGTTCATTGGGCGAGACCATGGGCAGCAAGTTGTGGAACGGGATGTAGACTCCCTCACCGTTGGCGTTGGTGCCGAGACGCACTGTCGAGGCCTGCGTGACGGAACCGAAGTAGTTGGGCTCCTGCACACCCTCCTTGGTGTTCCACGTGATGTGATGCTTGTTGGCGATAATACTGGCCACAAGCGTGGATCCATTGTTACCACCAAGACCCACGATCATAACACCGAGCTTGGGGATCTTGCGCTGCGTCTTAAACGTGAACTTCTCGTCCACAGGAGTAGCCACCGTGCCCTCCACACGCGTGGTGGTATACGTGTACTGCGACGTGATCTCGTCGTCAGTGTACACGACGTTCTTACTGTTGACCGTGAACGGCTCGCGGAAGAAATCGGAAGAGGCCATTACTGATGACGTGGAGGTTGGGAGCAGAGAGCTTGGGCTGCACGAGGCGGATTCGAGAGTGTGTTGGATATCGCCCAGAATTAGAGGCTGACGCCGTTTAACCCTGTCAAACATGATTCCGATTTAGCAACCGTCGCGCAGAAAGGGCACTCAAAAACTATAAATAGGGTAGTCACTACCCTATTTATAGACTACCGTAGTGTGAGGCTGAATCTTAACTTCGTTTGCCCCAAAGACTGCGAGTGGCCTCCTGGCGCTGCTGTTATTTGCTTGTCAGAGAGGCGTCTATATCGTCAAAGACTTAGTCTGCGGCGATGAGGTGACGGAGTAGTGTCGCCGGACCCGCAACGATTTTAGGAGCAGTACCGTATGCAGCAAAGCGTAATTCCTGTCTGCACACTGCCAACGAACGAGACGTGCTTTTTGTCTGCGGCTACTCTCGCGGTGCGAACTACATGTGTAGGCGAGATGCTCGGATCTCGTCATGCTAAACTGAAGTAGAGAGCAGAACTGCCGGCAGCACCACCGAGTCTGCTGGCCAGGTGTGCAAATCGTGTTAGCATGCTCACAGATTCTGGTGCTGTACTGGTACTGTACCGGTAATATGAAGCGGCTAAAAGTGTCTGCCCAGCGACAACTAAAAAAAGACTAATTATAAGTTATTACCCTCTCTCTCTCGCATCTCAAACATGGGGATGCCATGTAAAACTGGGTATAAGCCGTATCACACACATGATCTTGCTTCGTCTCCGCCCAGCACGTGCCAGCACAGACCGAGAAATAGAGCACAATCGCGATCTGCAACAGCGCCGGTCATAATCGTGAACTCTAAAAAACAGCACGTGGAAGTGCCACGAGTGATGTCATCGGCAGCTTCATAAAACTCCACCGCGCGATCAGAGTTCGCTGGCCAGCATTGGCAATCTATGGAGCACCGCAGCAAGCATTGCAAGACCCACATGGATGGACTGTACGCCGCGATACCTGTGTCAGCACGGAGCTTGGTACATGTAGCTGTGCTCCGCTGAGCTTCGCAATGGACATCGATCACGATTTTACCCTTTTAACTGTAGATCTCAGTCCACTGCGTTACAGTCCGTGCTCTTTGCAGCGATCCCCCAGCCCCGTTCTGAATCACGTACGAATCGTACGACGATTGCTGTTTGCTCTTTGGCGTCCTACATCATGCATGCTCGACACAGAAGGGTGAAGAGACTCTCCAAGAGTAGCCAACAAGACAGCAGCAGGTAGTCTTTAATTTAACAACGCTTGATTACAACAGGTTGGTCGAGCCTTCCCCGAACCAAATTACAAAATGTAATGACTGCCGATCGCTAGATACTGTAGTTCAATAAGCCAAAATGCTGGTAGTTCGCAAAAAAAGCACAGTTTGACCCAAAACCGGCGCATTTACCAGCATTCTACAGAATCGGGATCGCTTATGTCTGTTCGTGCGAGCCATCATTCCGGAGTAAAAAAATGTGCACTGGACAAGATATTTGTGAATTCCGACCAAATTTGCCGTTTTGGTCCTACCGTACATATATTCACTGAATCTCTTACAAAATTTTCTGTTAAAAAGGATAAATTCCAATTTGCCTAGCCCCACATGTACTCCAAATATGTATGTTTAACTTGATTTTTGTAAGGTAGGTGGGCGCTCATATAATGGTCGCGATGTTAATATTGACCACTTATATTTTCCAAATCAGTGTAAGCAGGTGTACTGAGCGCTCACCAACTTCGCATGTTCATGATTAACATGCATATTAACGTTATGAGCACGTTCTCGAGCACGTCCTTCCTTTAGGGAGATATGCTCGAGCACATAGCTACCATCTCTTTGCCCAGGTCATCTAAAAATCGGCCAAGCAAATGAATGCGCTTACAAAGGACGTAGCGTGCCAAACAAATGGAGCAACAGCATACACACTGATAATAAAAAACAGTCGCGACGACAGCACTTTGCAGCAAGGTGAAACCTCTACAAAATAAGGGGCTACCGCAGACGTAAGGCTCGCGTCTCTATTGCGCTTGGAGTTGATCAGTAGGCTTAACATGTTACATGACATGCTGATGTAGATTGCTTGGCGAAATACTCGGTCTAAGAACAGCAAAGCTGTACCCTCACCATCAATTGTGTTCGACACCGCAGCTAAATGAGCCATCTTGCTCAATCGGTCTAACAAGACCACAATACCCGTGTTTCCTGCCTTATCCTTGGGAAGGCCAAACACAAAGTCCATACTCATGGACTGCCAGCATTCCTTGGGGGCAGGCAAACTCACTAACGGCGCTGCCGTACTCGGCGCGGACTTCGTCCATTGACACGTCTCACGCGTGCGTACATAGGTACCGACCCACTTATACATCTTGGGCCACCAGTACATCGAGCTCACCGAGCCATAGGTCTTCTCCCGACCTAAGTACCCGCCCACGGGGTATCTTGAACCTCATAGAGAATTCGATACTTCCGACCCTCATCATGAGGAACGACTACACGAGGTTTATCCGCAGAGTCGGTGCTGTAGTACAGCAGGCCGCTATCGAGCGAGTATCGTTGCAGCCTCGCGCGTAAGCGCCCAGACAATTCCTTGTCAGAGTCTTTAGACTCTTCGCTCCCAAGAGCTCGTACCAGCGCTACGCACATGTCGTCCTGTGCATACGCTCCGCGTATCAAGTCAGGCACTGACGACGTCACTGTCGTGGCATGGGTTAATTCGCAGTCCAGCCTGCGCGAGAGCACACCGCCCACAACATTAAGCCGCCCCGGCTTGTACTTCACCCCGAAACTGTACTCGGCAAAGAAGGAACGTCTTCTAGCCATTTTCTGAGAGATGAGGCGACTGTGTCGCAGTACATGATCAGTAAAGATCACAAAAGGCTTAGAGCCTAGCAGGTCTACCCTGAACTTTACTAGAGCATACTTCATTGCAAGTAGCTTTTGGTCATGAACTGGATAGTTCTTCTCTGCAGCTTTGAGCTGGCGAGACTCGAACCCAATAACGCGTTCACGTCCTTCGGTGTCTGCTTGTAGCAAAGCACAGCCGATTGCAAAATCGGAGGCGTCACAGACGACGCTAAACGGACGATCGGGTCCGGTAGCGCAAGGATAGGAGCCTGGAATGGCTCTTCTACATAGCCTCAAAGACTTCGTTGGTGCTTGACGTTCCAGCACCATGGTGCATCCTTCTTAAGGCGATCTGATAATGACCGAGCCATCCATCTCCGCGTGGTTTGCACTGTATTTGTGCAAGTAATTGACTAAGCCTAGCCACTTGCGTAAGTCTTTTTGGCTCTTGAGAACCGGCCAGTCCACGATGGCCTTGACTTTGATTGGATGTGCCCGTAAGTCACTTTTCCCAATGAAGCATCCGAGGAAAAGTTTCCCCTCCGCGCCAAGAGGGACTTGTCCAAGTTGGCAAACAACCTTTTAGTGCACATGGCCCCGGGCACCGCTCGCAAATGGTCAATGTGGCTCTTCACGTCTGCATTTCCGTGCTCATCACGACTATGGACGAATATATCGTCAAAGTACGTCTATGCGTACGCCCGGTGGGGTCTAAACAACTGCGTCACAAGACGATTGAACGCTGCTGATGCGTTCGGCAGCCCCTGGGGCATGACCAGTCACTCCAGAGCATTTCGCTCGGTGTACCCACCGCTGTCAGCGGAATATCGATCGCTCCCATGAGCAATTGGTAGTAACCATCGACCAAGTTGAGTGCACTGTACAACGTACGGCCTACCACTCTGTTTTGCAGAACATTCTTGCGAGGAATCGGCGTTTGCGCTGGGATGGTGGCCGCATTTAGCTTGTTGAAAGTGTGAAAAATGCGTCACTTGCCGTTTGGCTTTCTGGCACAGAACGTGGGTGTCGAGTGCGGAGCCTTACTCTCACGCACCGTCCCTGCTTTGTGCTTAGCACGGAAGAATGCGTCAATGACACACTGCTGTCTTGGCAAAGGCCATTGCTTGGTCACGCAGTATTTGGTTCCAGGAACCAGGTCAATCTCATGACACACGCCTTGACCCGGAGGCAGTCCCGTCGGTAGGTTTTTTGAGACATCGTCTCCATTCTCCTTCATCACAGGATAGAAGGAATCCGAAGGCTCTTTTAGGATCGCCGACCCCCTTCTTGCGCGCAGTGCCTTCTTGGTGTCCTTTGTGACTGCGTCGTCCATGACGGATGATGAGTATAAGTCCTCCTCAGGTCTCAGCAGGACCACTTCGGTTAGCTCGCCTGCCTTCAAGGTTTCACTAAACACGGCAATGGACGTCTCGTCCAGCTCTAGCAAAGCATCTACAGCGGGCAGAACGTTAAGGCTGATGTCGCATTCGACCCCCCCCCTCGTCACTACATTGACGAGTGTGTGCAGCTGTTCACAGCAATCACGTGGAGCCTCACCGCTCGTCACGTTGGACACCTTGTCCGACGTCGAAGACGTCACAGACGCCCTGCATCTTCTTCGCCTCTCCCTTCGCGACCGAATGAGAGCGGTGTGGCCACATCTCCATCACCACCACCAAGTGCAGCAGCACCATCACTCCTCGAAGAGTAGACAATGTACTTGGCTGAGAGCCAAGAGGTCATTGACTCTCACACAGTGAGCTAGGTGTCACTTCACCTGCATCTCCTGGGCCGCGCCCACGATGCTTCGACTCGCAGTCGACTGCAGCCCTCGGGCCACGCAGCGGTACGTCATCGACCAAATCCTTACCACTCAGTGGATTACGCGCCACTCCACGTTCGTCCTCACCAGAACCCAACCGTTGGTCATTGACCTGACCTGCACCGCTCAGTGGATAACGTGCCGCACCACGCACGCCCTCAGGGCAAACAGCAACCTCGTTGCTAGCAATTTCTGACATACCAACGCCTCGGCCTTGTGCTCGCGCCGAAAGCGCTTCTGCTTCCTAGCAGAGGTGGGTTTATGACTCACCAAAGATCCACTAGGAGCAGGGTGCGAAGCACCCATCGTTTTCGACTTCCAGTCGATCCATGGCTCATGTCATTCCAGCCATGCCATGTCAAGGGTGAGATCATACCTTGCATTCAGGTCTAAGCCCAAACAGCATTCCACGCTATTAAAGTTCTCGAACTTTACACCAAGGTCAACAGAGACCTTCGCCACAGTTACCAGTGTCGCTGTCATGAGACGGACGGAGATTGTATCACTCGTTGGCGCTTCCAGTGCCTCAGCATACAGCAGATTCCCTTGCAGGGTGGAGTGACGGGGTAACTTGCCCGAGGCTCCCGAGTCAATCAAGACTCTCCACGGCTTCGCAAAGCCCTTCACGCTCGCTTGAACAACCAGCAAGCCCGGCTTGCACACATTCTTTTTGAAATAGAGCTCATCTCTCTTCGGGGCTGAGCCCCGTTGCCCTCTACCGCCTCCAGGCACAACAGAACTCAATTTTTCCCCAGTTGGCCGTCCCGCGCCTACCGTTTCCCGGCGATGACCCGGCGGGTTGGCTCACCGGAGACTCACGCTTCTTGCACAGTGGGCAATAGACCTTCAAGTGCTTAGTGCTATCGCACACAAAACATCGGATGATGTCGGCGTGCTACTCCGCAGCAAGAAGCCCCCCTTCTTCGTCTTCAGCATAGCTGAGGCCCATGGTCCGCCGGACCACCCGAAGAGCTCGCGTTGCCAGCGCTCCAATCTGGTCGAGCCGACCTGAAGTTGTGCTCGGCACTCAATGCCACATCCACATCCTCTTCGAAAGCGTTAGGGTGTACACGGAATACTTCCGTTCGAGCTGCGCTCACACGAAGTCCCTCCATGAGCACGGTCACGGTGTCCAGTTTTGGAAGAGGGTCCGCCGCCATTCCGGCGATAAGAGTTCTCAACTCTTGGACATAGCCCAATAACTTCTTCTTATCCAGCCGGGTAGTAAGGAACTTCGACCGAATACGGTACGCCTGATTAGGCGGCGCGAACACGCGCGAAAGCGTTGCTTCAGCTAACCCCAAGTGAGAAATGAAGCACCAACAGACGTGCCGTACGTTAGTGCCCATTTGCGAGCGCGGCCTCCAATCCTGGAGATAGCAAGCGCCACGCGCTGATGCTCAGACTGGAGCAGGGCCGATCCCATGGTCATCTCGACCTCACGGGCCCCGAAAAGGAGATTCTCTCCATCCTTCCCTTTGAAAGTTTTCACGCTCACAATGTCGTCATCCACGCCGCCGTCGCTGCGGCGCTCATCTTCTCTAGACGTGCTCCAAGAGCACGTTCCTGTCGCGTGAGAAAAATTCCAGCCTGGCCGTGACCGCCTCTGGACCTTGTGACGCAAGATGAGCCACGCCTTCTGGGCCAAGCAAGGGCATAAGTCTAGTAAGCGCGTTCTGCTGCGCCGGGGGCAAATTCGCGAACACGGGGTGTTCCATCCTCTCAGAGGATATAGTCAACCGACTCAGAAGCGGGATTGACTACAAGTGCTACCAAGTGCACCGGGGCTGCCGCAGCTTTACGTCAGAGGAAGACGTTCGACTCAAAGAGTCACTAATACTTAGTTCATTATCCGAAGGACACTTACAGCCCACGACCAGGATTTATAGTTAATACCGTAACTTGGGGCTTCGAAATCAGAAGTGTTTTTTTTACTATTGTTGCGGTCAGGCCGCCTAGGGTAATTGTATCTGCTTAACTATATAGCATAGTTCAATCTAATCAAATGCATGACATGTGGCTTTCAGCCAGCGTACTGAGAGATCTTATTAACTCTCCGACTTATGTACTGAGAGTTTGTTAGCTCTCCGGGTACTCCGTACCCCTGTGTGCTCTACACCATGTAACCCGTTACAGTAGTATAAGTGCAAGTTGGATAGCCGCGTTGACCTCTTTGAAGTCCATACGACACACACAAGATGACGTCATAGATGACCGAAGTCCACATCTCGCTCGTCGATTGTTGTAGATGTGCTGGTATGATTATGTCATTTGTTGTTCATAAAATGCAGAATTTAGGCTTAATCAATCATATATATTTGGAAACTCGCTGTCGAATCTTTTCGCAACGCTTGGTGTGGTGTACACATTGTCACTGAAAGTAACCGGATTATAACCTCTTTGGAGCGGTATAACCTTTGCAAGCAAGGGTCATAACATACAGCTTAATTTTCATTACAAACAGAAAATGGCTGCGATCAGATACTTTATTTAAAGTTTTAATCAAGTCTGTTTCACAGCTAATAAAATATAAGCTTGGGAAGGTAGCGTGCGACAGAGGAGAAAAGGGGTAGTTGGATTCACTGTCCAAGTAACATTCTGTCCGTCGCTGTATCTGGGGACCTACATTTGGTGGAGAGTGGATATTCTCCATCAGTACAGAATCTGCGGGCTCAAGCGAAGGGATTATTATCACTACTGACCGTAAAAGCAGCAAA